AAGTTTGTGACACCTGTCGGGAATGCAGAGCATGGGAACGTCCGGGAAACTCAACATTACCTTCGGTGAACCTTCCTGGAAATTGGCTCGACGAAGGCGAAATGGATCTCATGTGTTACAAGAAACGAACCATATTCGACGCTATGGATCGTTGTATTCGCCCGGCAGCAGGCCAAGATACTTCCGACAGAGAACGTGACGCTATACTCGACGCCTACCACTACTGCTGGATTGCCTATCATGGACCCTTCAAAGTCTTGTACTCAGATGGAGAAGGCGCCCTGAACAATGATACCGATAAGGCCATGATGGCGAGCAAGGGTACAACACTTCGTATCCGAGCGCCTGGCCAACACGCGACTTCAATCGAGTCACGAAACGGTATTCTCATGTGCGTTTTCCACATGATTGAGGAGGAGCTGAACAGACACAACATCCCTGTTGTATTCACTAAGTATTGGCTGAAGGCATCTTCGTTACCAACGCTTCAACGTTTTACAACGGAGCATCGCCATGCCAAGCACGCACTGGACGCCAGCCCTCCTTTCTTCCTGACCTCGACACCCTTGAATTTCCCAAGGGACCCGAGACGTCAGGCCATGAACGAGAACGTCGTGTGAGGGAAGTTAGCCTAGAAGCAATAGCTCAAGCCACGGCTGTGGCCAAGACAAATCGTGCTCTCAGAGCTAAAACGGCTCCAGATGGTGCTCGCCTTTACTCAACAGGGGATCTGGTCGACTACCATCGACCCACTCCCACTAAGGACGATCATGGAGGCTGGAACGGCCCATTCCCTGTGATCCGTAACGTGCCTGAAAGAGGACACATCGTTGTCAAGGCAGGATCTCGCGAGGCAATTGTGATGTATCCTGATGCTCGTCACGCGCTATACATTGAATGCCTCCTTACACGGGAACTTGGCATGGATAATATGGCCATGCAAACAGTCCTTACGTATGCGGCACACCTTGGCGCAGGGAAACCTGCCAAAGTCTTTGGCTACATCCCAGACTACAAGGGAAACTTCAATCTTTCAGGCGACAGCAAGTTTCACCCGCGCGTACATCTTGCACTACAGTATACCGTGCGAAATTATTTCCGAGTAGAACACGTAGTAGCAGTTAGACTGGCCAAAAGTGCGTCATGTCTACCTGCAGTAAAGTACGCCACCGGGTCTACGCTGATCCACCACGACAATGATGTTATCCCAGCTTTCCACTATTATGAGTATGTGGGCACTGGCCTGAACATTTTTCAAATCACTGGTAGCACTCATTCCAGACTCGTCCAATGCTTGACCTCACACGTTCCTTCCTTAGGGTTTCGCGACGACCTGGCCAAGTATCAGCACTCGGGCACCACGTCTGGAGAACATGATTCGTCTGGAAACAGGCCTCCACCAGACACCCCAGGTGCTTCATCGCCAAGTGAAGGCCGTCTGTCGACAATCTATGAAGATAACGAGGAACATAACATCGAAGCCATGATGCTGGAAGAATGGTACGATGAGTTACGTATGGACCTCCATCCCACGACGACTACCGACGATTATCTCTGCTGCGTCCCAACAACTATGTTGCCCGACCAATGTGTTTTGGTTTCAGCATCTGTGGACGAAGATGATATCGCATTGTCGGAAACGCTCGGAGACGAGCCTGAACCACAAGAGCCCTGTCTAGTCTCTCTATGCTCAACAACACCTGACGAGGGCTACTCTCTTGACAGTGATGAATATGGTCCCTATATTGAGTTATGTTTCACATCAGAAATGTCAAAAGTAGCGTTGGATCAGACTCAACTTGCACAGCTCGACACTGATATGGTCGCAACGATGAGAGTATATGTATCCTCTGTTGCTAAACGAGCTGTGGTAGTCAAGGAAGACGACCTACTCACCAAAGCCGATATAGCAGCACACCCGAAAGAGGTTAGTGAAGCTTTGTACACCGAACTCAAGATCTGGCCTTATAACCGGTGCTTTGAGATGTATGGTTTATCCAAAGCTTCCAACATCATGACATCCAGATATGCATATAAGTGGAAGTCTGTGAAGGTAGGTACCGAGAACGTTAAAACCATCCGTCTCAGACTTGTCCTTCGTGGATTTAAGGACACTGAGGCTTTCGATGTGGAAACCTTCTCGGGAACCGCTCGAAGGCAGTCCCAGAGACTCCTAGCAAGTGAGGCGGCATGCCATCCAGAGTGGATCCTAGCATCCATGGGCATCGACAAAGCGTTCCTCAAGGGTTTGACCTATGAGGAACTTGCCCATGCCACCGGCGAGGAAACTCGCATGGTTTGCTTCACTCTTCCACCGGGAAGTGCCCAGGTACTTCGTACACTGCCCGGCTTTTCATCCCATGACGAAAGCCGACGCTGCCTCAGGTGCCTCAAGCAAGGAACGGGTACAAAGGACGCCCCAAGAGCGTTCTCTCTCAAGCTTCGTACGACCACACGAGCTATAGGCCTTACACCGACAAGTTATGATCCTGAGTTTGACTTCAGCCAAGATTTGTTAACGGCAAAACATGTCGATGACATTAATATGACAGGCCTAGAGAAACATATAGACGACTATGTACAACGTGTCGAAAAGGTGTTTGGCAAATGCAAGCTGAACAAACACTCATACACGAACTGCGCCGTTCGCTACACTAAGAATGACCAAGGGGATGTGATCATGGATCAGGACGAGTATATCAAACAACTACGTCCTATCACACACCCAGAACTTACAGGATTGGCGGCCGATGCCAAAGCCACCAAACTCATCACCGACATGTTCGTCAGCTTGCGAGGAGCCCTCGCCTATGCCCTTCCTACTCAAGTCTGGCTCATGGTATATGTGGTCTCTCTTCAGAAAATACAAGAGCCCACCGACCTACAAGTCAGACGTCTGAATGCTGTGACGCCAAAGCTGATCAGCAGCCCGAAACGCATCACCTTCCCTCGGATGAAGCCGACGAATGAAGTTGACATGCGCAGTGATTCGGGGTATCGGAAGCTCACCGGGGAGGAGGACGGTGAGACCAAGTGCAATGGCATACGCGGGGCCAACGTACTACGGCGAGGAAACTCGCCTCAAGGCACATCCGTCGTTCACCTCTGTGACGGACTATGCAAATCACACCGACTGCAGGTGAGGTCCAGCTATGCCGTTGAGGCACTTGCAGCTGCACGCAACCTCGATAAGTGTTACCCTACGCTCATCACTCTCCACGAGCTCAAGGCAGGGGCTCTGGCTCCACGACAACTACGAGATATGCGTGAAGTTGGGGGCCTAGCTATTCAAGCATCCCTTACCATAGACGCTGAATCGGTATATAAATCGCTATCCTGCAAGGATCTTAAGATACCGACGGAACGGACCTTGCTTGGACATATTAGTTGGATACGTGAGCTCATGGATATTGGTATGGTGCATAATGTGCAGTGGTGTGATACTAGAGATATGACCGCAGACGGGCATACAAAGGGGAGCATCGATCGGGAGCTGCTTTTGGAAGTGATGTCAGGCAACCAGTCATTTAAGTATGACGTGAAGCAGTTTGTTCCCTTTCGGGGTCCCGAGGACAGAAACAGGCATAAGTCTAACCAATTTTAGTCTGTCCTTGTTGCCCCCGCGTTCCAATTTGCCAGCATGGGCTCCTACTACAGAGGCGCCCTTCTAGGTGCCCGGAAACGAGCCTTACATTTCACGCCTGGTAACGAGCTTGTTTAATGTGATTCAGGCTCTTTGCCTTAATACCCGTTTGCTCGGTGAGGTATGGCCCGTTTGGCTCTAGCCGAGCCGATAGCCCTTTACCATTCAAGGGGCTGTTTCGTATTTGCGTGAAATGCTTTGCGAGGAAACTCGCCTTACAGTCTGGTGTTAGGCCAGTCTGTATGCATTGTTTTCTTGCAAACAATTGAGGGGGGGAATTGTAGAGCCTAGCGGCTGCGCAGCTATACTCTCCGTTTCCTCCCCTCCCGACTTTAAGGGTATCTCTTTGGGAGATGTTATACAGAATCGGGAATAGCTCGCGCGCCGTTGCCTTCGGCTCAAGGCACGCGCGCCCTATTTGCCCGGACACTGCTTGCGTTCGCTATGTGCTGGAAAGATCATTACATCGATATTATCCTATCTGATCCGTCCATTTCTCTTACTGAACAACCTCAGTACGATACCGGACGCTATTTGCCATCCGCTTCCCATGGAAGCGGATGCTATTTGACTTAACATAGTCACTTCAGATTTAGACAGCACTATGCATTCTCAGCGCGCCTCAACGTGCCAGGGGGGGCGGTGGCGGATTTTCTGCTGCCCCCTCCGCCAAGGGCCACGGTTGTTTCACGCTGGCCTCACTTCGCCACTGCAGTGTCCCACCAGAGGCGTTTCACTCCGCGGGGCTATGCCCGCAGCTCTCTTCAGGCTTGGAGCGGGCTCCTCGTGCGGTGGCGCACGACTGGGCACTGGCTCCCCCAGTGTCCGTCGCCGCCTCTTCTTGCAGGCTTGACTTGGGCGCTGCCCTACGGGCCTCGTGCGCGGCACGGCCCCCCCTGCCCGCGCCCCCGCCGACGCCGCCGGGCTTGCGAGCTAATCCAGGTGCGATCCCTCCTCCCCGCGGCCCTCCCTGTTTCGTCCTCCATGATTCCCCTCCGCTCTGCGCGACGCGCGGGCTTCCAGTAGTGCTTCTTTGTGCGCGTGGTTGCCAGCACGCGTCGCACAGCGGTCCGAGACATCGCCCGCTGTCAGAGAGGAGGAACCGGAACAGCCAAAACCGCAGGTATCAGCAGTGAAAATCGACTTACTCCTTCCCCACAGCCTATCCCCTAAGAGGAGAAGCAGCAGCAGCAGCATCAGCAGGAGGATGCCGCGTTGCGGACGCTGCGGGGACTGCATTGGGTGCTCGTGCCTTCGTGGGGCTGACTCGAGTCTGTCCCCACGAAGACACGAGCACCCAATTCGTGGGGCTAATTCCCTCCTTCGGGCTCCTCCCTGCCCATCGCCAGCCGACCAGGACAGCAACCTCGAGCACCGGCTGGGCTGGGAGAGGGTCTTCGCGGCGCGGCTCGCGGCGTGGTCTGGGGCCGCCCTGCGGCAGAGCGCAGCTGGCGCCGCTGGGGGGGCGATCTCCAGGTGGTGCGAGACTCACGCTTACCAAGGACACGTTCTTGGCATCGCTCGGACGTGTGCATTTTTCCTTCGGCGAGGACCATCGTGGAGCATCCTTGATCATTTCGCGAAAAACCCACGCACGAAACCGAAAACAACACAGGAAATGGACGTCCGAGCGATGGCCAGCGTTACGCATGTTCGCGCGTCATCTCATAAGTGGTTCGTCATGGCATACGGCACGCTTGGTGCCCCATGGTTGTAGAGAGGCTGGAACAGGGGACACAGGTGGCATAGTGAACAGGCGAGGGAAGCGAGTGTTCTACGTTGCCCGAACACCGCAAACAGTGACATGTTTGTTTTTTGAAGTGGATGTTAGCCGGCGTCGACGCCAAACAGTGATGGCTTGCAATATGTGCGATGCAAATTTGCTTGGGTAATCTAGGTGATGCATTGCATGCGGTGCAAAGCAGTACAAATCAGTGCAAAGCAATGCAGAGTGATGCAAAGCAATGTGAAACAATGCACCGCAATGCAACGAAATGCAAAGCAATGCAAATAACTACCATGTAATGGAAAACAGCGCAAAGCAATGAACAGCTGAGGTGCCAAAGCAATGCCCAGCAAGACAATGCGAAGCCACGAACCGCAAAACAATGGAAAGCCATGTGAAGCAGCACGAACCACTATAAAGCAGCGCGCAGCGACGCAAATAAGTCGATACACATGACTGGAATGAAATGCAGAATAACGCACGCCAGTGCAAAGTCGCGCAGGCCCAGACGGCGTCGGGGCGGCGACGGCGACCACACAGCTCAGACCGACGGGCAGGCCCAGAAGACGGGCGGCGACGAGGCGGCGCCGGAGCGGCGGCGGCAACCACATAGGCGCCATACTATGGCGGGCAGGCCCACTGCTCTAAGAAGAAGCGAGAGCCCCCTTGAGTGCAATCACTGTTGGGGAACACGTAAGTTGATTGCACCTTTCCTTGTTCCCCCGCCTGCAATTTCCCGCAGCGCTCGCACTCATCCGAAGGGGATGGGGAGCGGGGGTGTATGTGCTCATGTGCATGGACGCAGTGTCGGCCCCAGTTGGCCACCCCGGCAGTCCTCTACTGCAGAGACAGAAGAGGCCATCCAGGTGCCAGCGACGCCACTGGTTCTTCCAGCGGACGCATCGGGTCGCTGCAGGATATCCTGAAGGACGTGACCGAGGTGTTCGTTTGGATCACGCGCGGTGCCAGGGGGGGGGCTCCACCTTCCCTTTCGTGACTCGTCCCTCGTCGTCTCTCGTTGTCGTCATCTCCTCTTTCGCCCTCCTCCTCCTCCTCCTCCTCCTCTTCTTTCTCCCCTTCATCTTCCTCCTCCTCCTCCTCCTCCTCCTTCTGCTCATCCTCCTCCTCCTCCTCTTCCTCCTCCTCCTCTTGCTTTTCTCCGAGTCTTCCCCTCAGTCCTTTTCAGTGTCGACGCGCCCCCAAGCGGGCCTTTTTGGGGGAAAACCAGCCAGGAGGTTGACCGTCGACACTTCTTACGATGGAGAAGGGCCCTGCGCCGACTGATTCATTGGAAGGTGCAAAGTATTGGGTTTCAGTGTGTGCAGTGTGGCGTTGCCGTCGCCGTGCAAGTTCCAGGAGACCGCTTGCCATGCCATCCAAGAGTTGGTAAACACTCGATTGCGCGCGCCCCCCACCGACCCCGTCAGAACACAGACACGCGTGGGCGACCACGACTTTGTGCCCTTCAGGTACGCGAGAGGATCATTCACCAACCGTTCGGCGGGCGTGAGTATAGGCTTGCGGGGTCGGGACCTTTGCTGCAGACCCCATCGCGTTGTACTTGGACCCGTTTCCGCGCAAGGACAGGCGGGCATCGTCCGTGTCACCTCTGGTCCGTTGGACATCACGATCGTGGCGTTGTATGTTCCCCCGCCTGGCCCTCGCGGCGCGCAGGCTACTTGGCGCAGGACGGCCGACGTGTTGTTCGAGTGGTTCAGCGCCCTGCTGAACGCCACCCCTGAGCGTTAAACTCCCACCATTTTCGCTGATCGGAACGATTCGTCCGCGTTGGACGGGACGTCGGCTGGCTTTCCGTGCGTGGGCCCTTTCGTGCAGGACCGCATGGGCACGTTTCGAGGAGCCTACGTGAGCTGATGCATCGGCATGTCCTGGGTTGCGCCACCACCTTCCGTAAGATAGCGTTCGCCTACAGCGGCGAGGAGTCTTCGCCGTGGATCGATCATTTTACCGCGCCGCTCGGCGTGCTTCCCAGGGTCAGCAAGAGCCTGGCGGTGACTCAGGCGGCCAGGGTATTGCAGTCGTTCCCGTGCAAGGGTATCCTCCGCGACCACTCGCCAGTCTTGATGGAGCCGGATGTCGGCACGCCTAGGTCACAGGCACCTTCGGCTGCCATATGGAATATTGAAGCGGCGGAGACCGCCCTCCGGACCCACGGGTTCAGGGAAGCCTTCCTCGAGGAATTCAACGCCGTCAAGGAAGCGATGGCCCCCGATTTCAATTGTTTTTTTTTTGAGGCCCACAAGATCGACGAGGACTACCAGTGGCCGGCATCCGTCCTCATGCCCGTTGCCAAGAAACACTTCGGCAGAGCACGCAGGGCCCCTGGCGGGAGGCCATCGCGACCTCGCACTCAACTTCGGGCGCCCCCGCGCCGGCGCGCCCGCCTCCGAGGGGCGCGCGCCGGATCCGCGACGCCACGAATCGCACCCGTTGGCGGGTCAGGCGATGGGCGAGGTCGCTTCGTAGAACCTGGACCGAAGGCCTTCACGAGGCCCGGCGCCTGCGCGATCGCGCCAGCATTTAACGCGTCAGTCGGCGTCTGGCGGGCTCGGGCCCGAAGCGCCGCAGCTGCGCGGCGGTGCGCCGACGCAATGCTACGTCCGCTGGGCTGGCTGTCTCTCCGGGCGACCCTGGGCAGGATGGCAGCCTCTCGGATGCGCGGGCTGTGCTATCCGATTGCTACGGCGATAGGGCCCAGCTCCCCCTCGCGGAATCAGCGACAGCAGCTCGGCTGCGGAGGTGGGCGGGCGCGATCTGTCTCTGGCTTCGGGGGCGCTTCGGCGCGCCACTCGACGCGGGGCCGTTCCTCCTCCGCCGCTTGCCCGGCGCATCTGGCCCGTGCTCCCCGAGCCGCCTCACCGCCGCAAGCCTCGCTCTAGCCCGGTCAGCCACGGCGCCGCCCCCCCCCTTCCCCTGGGGCGCGCCGCTGGGGTCGGGCCCAGGAGTCGCGCCGCGCGCAGGAGGGCGCTCGGGCGTTTACCCGCGCGCGCGGGTGATTCGATTGGCCGGCAAACGCCCGAGCCCGACGGGAGCGTTCAGTTCCCGCGGGACCGGCCCCCTTTTTCTCGAGCTGCTCCCAGACGGAACTACAGATCGGCCCCCCGCGGCCGACCGGCCGATTTCGACCGCGGGCGCGCCCCGCACCGATGCAGGGAGAACGCCGCTCTAGGCGCGCGCGCGCGCTGTCAGCTCACGCGCGCTGTCTAGGCGCGCGCGCGCAGCGACGCACCGCACGCGCGGCGCGTCGCTGTGTTCGACGACGCGTAGAACGTAATCGTTGTTGCGCGCGTTTTCGCGCGGACCAGGGGCTTCAATAATTGTCGGCCCTTTATAGACACTCAGCTCTTGTCCGACAGGCGCGCCGCGCGCGTTTTGCGCGTCGGCGGAGCTGACCAGCGCGCCGCCCTCCGCATCGAAAGCGGGGCGCCCATGAGGGGGGGGTGAGTGCGCCTTCTACGGCGAAGGATGGGCCAGAGCAAGGATCCTAGCCCCATTGCGCGACGCCCGCCCCTCGACGTCGCCCGCTCAAATGCGCGGGCGGCGTTGCAGGCGTTCCCCCCGCGCGGGAAGGCGCGCTCCAAGAGACCGTCGCGGCCGCCCGGGCGTCGCGGGATGCGCGGGGCAAAGCGCCCGCAGATTCGGGCGCCATCAGAACGCTTCACAGCGGGCCCTGGCCCCTCGGTCGCGCGGCTACAACGCAGGCGAGATGCCCCATCAATTGAGTTCGAGCCAGCAGGCTGCCAGCAGAGGCTGGCTGTCCCTGAAGTTCCCGCGGCCCTCGGAGACTCCGTTTAAGGTGAGGAGATTTGGATTCATTCACGTTGCGCAAGCTACGCTCCTGTCTGGCCTCGCCCCGAATCTCCTCGCAGACGCCCCCGAAACCAAGTTAGACATTGCGTTGCTCGGTAGGGCCCGCTGCGTAGCTGCTGGGGCACTGCGCGACCGGTCTGGGGCGCGCCCAATGGTTTGGGCGCCTGAGGGATTAAGGAGTGGATGAACATCGCCCCCAGTCGCATCGAGCGGTTGATTCAGTGGCTTCGCCTGCGTCAATCGATCGTTCGATGGCCCAAAGAGCGCGCCCAGGTCATCGCCCAGCCGTTCGGTCAGCGCGACATCGCGTCGCACCCAGCCCTGGGGGGCGACCGCCAGACCGAGCGGGCCAACGCGCTCGCGATTCGGTTTGCCGCGGGCGCTCGCGCTCTAGAGCTGCTCACAGACAGCGAAGATTGAAAACGCACTTTGGGGGTGGGCGCACGCGATTTGCTTCGCGACGACTACGTCAACGCGCGCTGCTCTAGGCGGGCGTCTCGGTACTCCAGGAGATTTGGCAGGGCGGCTGCGCGGAGCAGGACGCGATTGATTTTGGTAGCCCTGTTGATGGGTGGAGGAGGCAGGAGCTCGACCTCCCTCGAGTTCTGGGCCTTCCAGGTCGCGCGCATCGCTGCGAGCGCGCCGCGGTGGGCGGCGACGCATGCGGGGCTGCGTTCTTCGCCGCCGCGCCCGAACCCCCTTTCGCCCCCGCCCGCGGCGGCCAGGGCGATGTCCAGCGCCCCCGAGCGGGCCCCGCCCGCAGCGCCGGGCCGAGGCCGAGCCAGGATGCGCGCCAGCCCTCGGCAAGTCGAAGCCAGTCCACAAGGGGCCGCCCGCAGGCGCCGCAGCAGGCTCGGCGCAAGTCGCAGCCCCTGCGCCGGGCGAGAAGAAGCGCAGCCGACGCCCAGGCAAGGTGAAGGACACGGGCTGGACGAGATGCAGGCCCGCCTGATCGACGCGCCCACCATGCGAACCCCCATGACGGCGCAGACGGTCAGAGACCTGCGGGCGGGGGGAGCGGGCGCCCACTTCGCGCGCGGGCGCCCCCGATATCGTCGCCACACAAGAGTGCGGGGCGACGTGTTCACAAGAAGCTGCAGCCCGAGGGAAGGGCCGCCAGCTGGGTCCTCGTTACCTGCATATCTCCCATGGCTTCCGCGTCGAGGTGCTCGAGTGCGTGCTCGCGCCGGGGCAACGGACGCGCGGCGTTCTCGCAGACTGGCGCATCAAGGTCTGGTCGGAGTTGCAGCGGGAGGGCCAGCGCGACATGTCGAGGCTCTGCAGGGCGAGGACATGCTTCGACCAGAGCGAGCGCAAAGTGCAAATCATGATGCGCGACGCGCCGATGGAGGGCGCGCCGCCCGAGCCCGACGAGAAGTCGCTGCCCCCCAGCCCCGCGATCGCCCACAGTTTGCCCCGCAAAGCTCTGCGCGAGACAGACGCGCGGCGGGCTCTGGGCGCGGCGCCGCCAGGAGCCATGGACGGGATGCTTCAGAACGCGGTCGAAGGCTAGGGCGATAGTAAATCATCCATGTCGCATAGCGTGGTCAGCTCTACACAGGACGCATGCATTTTGCCCAAAGTCGTCGTCAAAACCCAGTTCCCCGGGCTAAATGCCGCCACCGTCGCGACTTGTCCGCCAAAGGCCTTGCCGGGTTGCACCTCTCGTGGCTCTCGGGCGCATCTGCGGCGCAGGCGCGACGGGTCGCGCTGGGCCAGCGGGCGGGTGGCGGCCGATTACTCCCAGGCGGCCGGGTGAGCATTGGCTGCTCGTTTTTTTAGACAGCGGGTGTTTATTTCCCAGAAGTGCGGGCGGGTTAGTGGCTGCTTTTTCCCAGCGAGTTGAGCGGGCAGTGGCGGCGCGATGTTTGGATTAGGTGGGTCGTGGCGGCATTATGTCCAGTCCATTGGGCGGGTGGTGGCGGTGTTCTTACCAGACTGCGTGGGTCGTGGCGGCTGCGTTCCCAGCGCGCTCGCGGAGCTGCGTTGCGCGCGGCATCATCATCAGCATCCTCATCATCATCATCATCAGGCTCCGCTGCTCCATCGACTTGGGGCCCATGCCGCGCTGCGTGCACGAGCGGGCTCCGCGCTGCCTCCCACTTCCCGCGAGGGCCCTTTGCGCCCCGTC